TATGTATTACTGGCTGCCCTTTTGGATGGTAAAAAAAAGCAAATTGCCGCCCCTTTATTTTATTAGAAGGGAACTCCTTCATGAGTGTTCTGCCAACATGATTCTGCTCATTACTTCAGTGATCTGTTCACAACTCTAGATGCATTTGAATGATATGGATTATGTAGGCCCATTTCAGTTGAGTTCCTGCCTGGACCAAGAACTAAGTAAGAAGTGCTGCCTTATTAATTCAATACAAACTGCCTTGTAAATAAATAAAATAATAAATAAATTTATTATCATTGTAAGTCTATACAGAGTATACACATACAACAAAATTCACACAGACATGGTATTGTACTCCATTGATCCATCCAGCCCAACATTGTTGATACAGGCCAACAGTAATTCTCCCGGGTTACAGACAAAAGCTCCTACATGGAGATATCAACTTTCTGCATATAAAGAATGTGCTATACCATTAAGCCCTGCCACTAAGCTTAGGTCTTCCCTATAAATCTCTCTGTGGCTTTTAATACCAGTTACCATTCTGGACCACCTAGTGGAGCTGGGCCTTGAGGAGGCTGTACTGCAGGAGTTTTAGTTCTTCCTTTCAGGCCATGTCCAGAAGGTAGTGGTAGAGGGCAACTATTCATCCATAGGCATAGAATTTTGTCCTGTCCCCTACGTCACTGGTCCTCACCCTTTTCCGAACCACGGACCGGTGGGGGCGGGGTGGGGTCTGTGCGCATCGGATGTGTGTGGTGCACTCGTGGGGACGTGGCATGCACTCGCGGGGGGTGCCCGTGTGGGTGGGCGGGCTGTGCGTCCATGTGGGAGTGCATGGGGGGAATGCGTGGGGGGGGCAGGAAATCTGTCTTTGTGGCCCGGTCCTGCGAAGGCCACAGACCAGCTGTGGACCAGGGGTTGGGAACCCCTGCCCTATGTTAAGAAAGAGGCTATACATCTTTAATTTGGCTTTAAAAATTGCTGCTTATAGTTTTCTATATTTTTATTGTTCTAGTTGATGTAGGGCTAGATTGAGGACGAAGAGAGCTACGTAGGCTGTCTCAGTCTCATTGGGAAAAGGCAAGATAATAAGAAACAAATAAATGCATGCTACAAATAAATAAATAATGTCCAGAATCCTGTTGGTATTCATGTAAGGTTTACTTAACTAGTCATGGTTAATTGCAGTAATTTGACAAGGCACTGGGGTACATCTCAGTTGTGCAATTGGGCACATGAACTCATCACTTTGTCAATTAGTCACAGTTAGTCTAAAATTAAATAAAGCCTGGCTGGAAACTGTTGTCTTAATGTTTCATGAATTCATGTTAGAAGAACCAAGAGCCATACAGCAGTCCCACGCTGCTGTAAAATGGTTCCCAAGCCTCTAGAGCAGACTTCAAGGGGGCACAGGAGAAAAATGCAAAAATTGCCTTTTCACATTGAAAAGGCAATTTTTAGCCCAACCTGTTCCACGAGCAGTTTTCTCCTTAAAAATCTTTGGATTCATATCTAATTATTTTGCTGTAAACATTTAAGAAATCTATGGGAGCTTTAAACAAGCATTTGTCCATCAAAACACATGCACTGGCCAATCTATGAAATAGTGCTTTTTTAATATATGTGTCACATTTCTTGGGATTTTTCATAAAGATTTTTTTTAATTATTAGAGGTGGAGGAGAGTTAGGCCTGGAGTGGCATCAAGGTGGCTGCATGATGAAGAAACACAACGGTGTTCAAGACCTCCAGGCCTGCATAAGGTTTTTACATGAACTCGGATACTCTCAGCCAGCACATACAGCTCTCATGAGCCTAAGTGCCGGAGGAGTTCTCGCAGGAGCCCTCTACAATAATGATCCCCATATTATCAGAGCTATGGCCTTGCAGGTGAGGTCATCAGAATTCCATTTCATTTCACTCCAACTATCAGGAAAATCTCTTTTCAGGATCACTTTCAAAGAGAGCATGATCTCATAATGTGGAACATCTTTCTAAAAATCTGTTTAAGCTCAAGAATGAATTGTGGGTCCAAAAGCAGTGAGAATATCAGTCAAAACAGCACAAGACAAACTCCCACCAAACTCCTATGACATCCTGAGTCTAAAATGTTTCGTTGAGCCTCTTATCTCAGCTTCTAAATCACACCCAAAAGCATTTTAGCCAATGTTTCATAGAATCATAGAATAATTGAGTTGGATGGGGTCTTTATATAAGGCCATCGAGTCCAACCCCTGCTCAACGCAGGAATCCAGATCAAAGTAGTTCTGACAAATGGTTGTCTTATTTTCTCTTGAATGCCTCAGCACCTCCCTAGGTGTTCGGTTCCATTGTCATACTGCTTTAACACTTGATGTTTTTCTTGATATTTAGCCTAAATCTGGCTCCCTGTAGCTTGAGCCCATTATTATGTGTCCCCTGTACTCTGTGATAATTAAGAACAGATCCTGTCCCTCCTTTGTATGACTATCTTTAAAGTATTTGAAAAGTGCATCAGATCTCCCCCCTCAGTCTTCTTTTCTCAACATGCCCAGTTCTTTTAGTCTTTCCTCATAGGGCTCCACAACTGCAGTTGGCTCTCAGGCCATCCAAAATCCTGGATGAAAAGGACTGAAGCCGTGGGATGGCTGCATTCTGCTTGAGCTGCAATTTTCTTCCTTGCTTACATCCTAGATTAGGACCAGTGTGGCTGATCTTTTTTGCTGTGCCTGCTTGTTCACCTCAGACCAACTTAGCAGCAATACAGTAGACCCTTGACTTACAGAATTAATCTGTATTGGAACCGTGGCTGCAGGTCGAAAAGTCCGTAGGTCGAGGCTCCATTGACCTACAATGCATTGAAAACCGATTAATCCATAACCGGCCGTTTTTGTTCCTTTTTGGGTTTTTTTTCCGGTTTGTAGGTCGATTCTCCAGCTGCAAGTCGAACCTAAATTTTGCGGCCAGAGACGTCTGTAACTCGAAAAGTCTGTGAGTGCCGTCGTCTGTAAGTCAAGGGTCCACTGTACAAGCAAGCACGTGCCTCTGCTTGTCCTAACCTTTCCCTCTGAACTGTGGAGTAGACCCAACCAATAAGAAAAAGCCAGTCAAACTGGCAACAGTGCCATTGGGGGAATGGGTCCATGTAGCAAACCAGAGCCTCTTAAAGTATATCTTGTCCGATAGCACAAAAAAAAGTTAAAGTCAGCGTTTTCCTGGTTCGAACAGAGGGGCTCTCACTGCCAAAGATTTGGGTGAGGCACACACCCATTGCTGAGGTCAGTGCTTTTGGGAACTAACGAGAGAAGCCCATGTTTCTGGAGGAGAAAGCACGTCTGCGCTTGAGAAAAGAGGAAAATAGTATGGCCACTGGTGAGGTTAGCATGAAGCTGATGGGGCAGCGGGTGTCAGAATGGTGCCTATCTAAAATTGGGGAAAAATTCTCACAGATGGAACATTTCCACAGTTTCAGGGCAACAATTTGTTTTGTCAATAGTTTTAACCTACAATATGGATGAAAATCTGGGTCGAAGCTAGTTGCTAGTCCCAGTTACAGTAGACTTGTTGAATGAATGGCACTTGTTAAATTGACACTTGGATCGTTCATTTCTTCTGAACATCTAATTATAGATCCAGGTTAAGAATGTTGGCGAAATACAAGCAGGCTTCTATCTGATACAGTGGTGCCTCACTTGACAATGTTAATTCGTTCCAGCGAAATCACTGTAGAGCGAAAACATCGGCAAAAAAAACGAAAAAACCCATTGAAACACAATGCGTTCCAATGGGCTGAATACCTACTCGTCCAGCGAAGATCCTCCATATGGCGGCCATTTTCGGTGCCTGTATAGCGAGGAATCCATCCTAGCAAACAGCGGGGAGCCATTTTGAAAGCCTGCATCCATTTTGAAAGCTGACGATCAGCTGTTTGCTGATTGTCGTAAAGTGAAAAATTGGTTCCTGAAGCTGGGAACCAATCATGGCTAAGCGAAATTTCCCCATTTAAACCATCGTTTTGCAATCGCAAAAGCAATCGCAAAAATGTCAACGTAATGCGGATTTGTCGTAGAGCGGGGTAATCGTCCAGCGGGGCACAACTATATTTGGTTTGCTCTTTTTCTCTGAAGTTTAAAAAATGTGCATTTTATTCCTAGGCCCCTTTCCTAGATGTTTTAAACACAATGTTGAATCCTCATCTCCCCCTGACTATTGAAGAACAAGAAGAATGGGGAAATCCACTGGTTGATGAGACATGCAAGGAATATATTAAAAGCTACTGTCCCTATCAAAATATTAAGGCACAGGTACTACCTCACCTTTTAAAAAAAGTACCAAAAACTACATTTCACACAACCAAAACTACTAAAACATTGTATTTGAAAAGCAGTTTTTAAAAGTTCAAGCAATTTTTTCAACAAATGTGATGTAGCAAAGGTTAGAACATCAAAATACATTGACTTCAATAGGAGATTGCAAGGTAGATGCTTTAGACTTCAGGGCCATCCAGACTTAACAGGGCAGCTTCCTTTCTGAACAGGAAGCTAGAGAGAAGCTAGGTCTATGCAAGGTTACAGCTAGGTTTCTGTTCAGGTGAGTTGTATTTAGGTGACTGTAGGGGTGTATCTTTCAGGTGGACCTTACAGAATAGAGATTTCTGGGATTTGTAATTAAAAAAATCAAATGGCACATCCATGGTAGCAATTTGTCACTGCAAATTACACCATTTCCCTTTCACTAGCATTCACTACCCAACAGTATGTTGGCAAATGTTCTCAGCTTTTTCTCTCTGGAAAGAGTCTTCTTGTAGATTAGGAAGAGATTCCACTAGTTACTCACCTCTGATCACTAGTCAAATAGTACATGCCAGCCACTGTTTGATGGAAAGTTGTGGGGAAGGGTGATTTTTAGGAGGGGGAACAAAATATGGTGACACCTAACCAGCAGAAGTGGAAACTGCACTCCTCTTGTTCCCTAGCGGTCACTATTTTTGTTATCCAGGAATTATGTGACACATAAGCTGTGTAGACCAGAAATACCATACATATCCTCCCCTGGGCAGGGAAATTAATTTTTTAGTAAAGTAACCAGGTTTTTTAATGGTGTCCTAGAATGATGATTTAAAAAATGGTGCCTGCAAATTACTGGTCCTGCCAATTAGCCCTGGTTAATTCAAATGGTGATTTCAAGGTACTTCTCATCTTTCTGAAGACTGCCTCGTTTCACCCCTTGTCCAGTCCTGGAAATTAAGACTGAGGTGGAATGAATAAATGCAACTTAACCTGCCTCGTATTGTGGCTTACCAAAACAAAACTTGAAAGGGAAACAAAAACATTTAAGGGCAATTCTTATTTTTATTTTATTTTATTTATTAGACTTAAATGTCTACTCGGGGCGGCTTATATGAATAAAAACAGAACAATATAAACAATATAAAATCATCTAAAACGCAGTTTTAACACCTATTTCTAAGCAGCATATAACCAAGATGACATAACTCAAGCAAGAAAGATAGGGATCAATTAACTGACTATATCCAGGAATTATGTAACACATAAGCTGTGTAGACCAGAAATACCATACATATCCTCCCCTGGGCAGGGAAATTAATTTTTTAGTAAAGTAACCAGGTTTTTTAATGGTCTCCTAGAATGATGATTTAAAAAATGGTGCCTGCAAATTACTGGTCCTGCCGATTAGCCCTGGTTAATTCAAATGGTGATTTCAAGGTACTTCTCGTCTTTCTGAAGACTGCCTCGTTTCACCCCTTGTCCAGTCCTGGAAATTAAACAAGATTGAGGTGGAATGAATAAATGCAACTTAACCTGCCTCGTATTGTGGCTTACCAAAACAAAACTTGAAAGGGAAACAAAAACATTTAAGGGCAATTCTTATTTTTATTTTATTATATTTATTAGGAACCCCACAATTGAGGCTCCACGGGGCCAAGACAGTCTCCCCAAGCTGTACTCTCTGGGGGCAGTCCTCCAAGAAGGATCAGAGCCAGGCAAGGGCCAGGCCACTGATTCCCAACTCGGAGAGCCTCCCCAGGAGGATACCGTGGTTGACGGTAAATTATCTAGGCTTCCTTATAAGGTAGTAAAGTGGCCCAATATTATTCTCTAGAGCAGGATATAAACCTAAGTGACTAACCAAAAAGAAAGAAAGACAGACCAAGGATTTAAATGGTTTAAAAAAAATGAAATGAGCCCTTAAATTCTGCTCCTCTCGGCTATGTTATGAGAAAATAGGTGGTGGAGTAACAGCAACAAAGAGTTGGCAAGTTTTTCTTTTAGTTTCTGTCCAGTCTTAATCACAGAGGATGTTTAGAGAGGTTTTAATAGAAAGTCCAGGTGTTTACCAAGTGCAAGTATTTAAGTCACAGATAAAATCTTCCCATATTTCTCAAGTGTAGCTGTGGTGAAGGTATTTTTTAATCTATGTAATTAAATCTGTGTATTTTTTTTCCTGCTGACATTTGCAGAAGAGCTTCCATGAGGTTAAAATTTAATGACTGAACAGATTGGCATCAGTAACTCCATCCTGTTAACTCAGACATTTCCTTCCCCATCTCCCTCCCATGCCACCCCTCTCTTTCTAGAAGTATCCTTCTCTTTTCATCACAGTCTCTGAAAATGATCAGCGAGTACCTTTGGCAGGATTGTTAAGATACATCTGTAAACTAAGAAAAGCTGTGCAAGATCATGCCAACAGCACGTACGAGAAAGGTAATATTAGACATCCTTGGTTAGATTACGGTTGGCTAAATTATTGTGTAAAAAACAATACAATTGAAGGACCTTTGCTCCAGCCCAGCAAAATAATACATATTGTATATGCAAATAGGCACTTTTAAGTCCATTTCGCACAAGCTGGAAAGTTCAGCCTAGGAGCAAGAATTGTGTATGCAAACCCGAAGTGGGAAGCTTTGTAGTTGCATTTCTTCCAGGTAAAGAAAGAGGCAGGGGGCATGGGCATTCCTTAAGTATCCCTTTCCCAAAACCTGCCATAGAGCAGAATGTCTGGTCCCATGTCCTGCTTTGGATTGAGTCTTTAAGCTGTAGTTTTGTGGTACATACAGGAAATTGTTATCTCTTTTTTGCTTTATGCTTCTTAAAGTAAAAACCAGTTTCAGCTTCAAGTGCGAGGGAGCTGCAGTTCTTAATATGGAAAGTGGCAAGAAGCATGGCTCAATGGATTGTGAGAACTGAAATGCTTAGTGAAGATTACATATGGTGAACTAGATCAGAGATTGGAAAAGTTGTTTAACTGCCCGGACAAAAAAATACCCAAACCAAACTAAATGTAAGCTTTTGTGATGGATCCAGTTCTTCAGACATATGAGAGGGAAGCAAAACCACAGATTATATACTGGAAAAGCACAGGAAACGGATTAAAATGTTGATTGCATATACCTCCTGGTTATAGTGGATAGAGCCATGCTTCCTGTTTTTGGGAGTACAAAACCCCGAAACCAGCCAGCATGGCCAGTGACCTTTGGTCTGAACTAGACCTTGTGCTATATGAATATCTATCGTCACTAAAGAGAGTGATGTTAGACAAGATATAATAGAGACGGTCAAGAAGAAACCACATTCCAGCCTAGGAACAAAAACTGTTTTCACAAAGCTCTAGTAACTGTCTCTGTACATCTTTTACTTGATTAAGAGTCAATTTTTTTATCCTGCCTTTCTTACACATAGCTCTTCCTGCAACATTGAGCAAGCTGAGAGGTAATGCCTGGTTCTGGGTCCCCCAGTGAGTTTCATGGCCGAGAGTAAACTTGACACCAGATTATCCCACTACAGTGGTCTTGTGCTACTTATCACATTCTCAGGCTATAAACTACTGGAAAAGATTAGTGTAACAGTGCCTGGCTTTGGTGACAAAATCCAGATTCTCAAGAATAGTTTCCTGTATGAACCACAAAACCGTGGCTTAATTACTCCATCCAAAGCAGGACATGGGATGAGACGTTCTGCTCTATGGCAGGTTTTGGGAAAGGGATACTTAAGGAATGCCCTTGCAGAGCAAGAGCATTCCTTAAGTATCCCTTTAGGAAACGTATTTATTAAGTTGCCCAATGTACCAGGCACAGCTGTAAGATATGTCGTAGTATGTGCTTTCAAAGCATTAAAACCAACAGAAGAATAAATATATGCTTAGGTTTGAATGCGTTGGAAGCATTATTTTGCCAAAGAATGTCTGGAATCCTATTGCTTAGCATAGTAAGTCACACTAGAGTAGGCCCATTAGATCATTGGGAATTGAGTGAATCAACTGCTCTGTAAGCTCCATTCATTGAGATGGGCTTTCTCTAATTGTGACTTAGTATGTCAAGCAACAGGATTCTAGCTATTAACTTATAGTTGTGCTTCACACACTGGACAGTTTTAGTAAGTATGTCTTCATAGCACTTTTTTAAAAAAAAAATTTCTTTCTTGTATGGTCATTTTTCCTTTATAGTCATTTGCTTCCCATTTGCTGCCCTTACTTTCCCATTACAAGCAGTTGAAGCAAAAACTGCCTTAAGCCAGAAGTGTCGAAATGCTCGGGTTCAATTCCACATCTGCATCCTAGGAGGACAGGTGACTGAGCAAGATACACCCATTTGTTGCAGATGGCAAAAATGGGGTGGAGAGGGAGGGGATTTAGTATTTCAAGTACATTCTTCTGATTTACAGTGTACCATGTGAAAGGGTCCTTCTCATGGTAAATACCCACATATGAATCATGTGCTTTAGTTTGGAAGAGAAGCAAAATGTTGTCTTCATAAGAAAATAGTTTGGAATAAACAAAAAATGAACATCTAAAGAACATTTCACCAGCACCAGCCATCAACCTTTAAAGCTTAGGGGACACATACCGCCTCAAAGGGTTGGTGGGTTGGTGGTTTTTTGTTTGTTTGTTTTTTTCAGAAGCTAGTGGTTTTTTTTTTTGTTTGTTTGTTTTTTCAGAAGCTTGATGCTCCCGTGACAAAAGAGCATAGAAAAAAAGTGATTCTCTGCTCTTGGAGAGATCCAGGAGCAATGGTTTTGTGATTAATAAGAAAAAGCATTGACCAATGAAACATACTCTGGATGTCAGGCAAAAACAAAAGAAAAATTTAAAAAATAGGAAAGTGTCGTGGCAGCTTAAAGACTAAATGTAACATTTCAATGTAAGCTTTCGTAGACCTTCTTAGCCCACTTTGTCAGACATATAGCTAAGTATATATTTGGAGAAAAATATAAGCCAGCCCTCCAACTCCTTCACCAACTCATAAAAATGAAAACAGCAAATTTCAGCATATTTGTTTTTATTTTTCAAATTGTTTGCTTTTTTCTGGGACTAGCACAGCCTCTAGTGGATCCTGGAAGGTTGGCCAATGCATCCTTCAAAGTTGTCTTCTCTGCTTTAAAGGTTTGTGGGGAAATGCTTAATTTTCATCGATCACCAACAGAAAGTATGAATATAGAATAGTGATTCCAAACCTTCGGACCCCAGGTATTCTTTGACTGCAATTCCTAGAAATCCTGCTCAGCACAGTTAGTAGTGAAGGTTTCTGGGAGTTCTTGTCCAAGAACATCTGGGGATCCACAATCGTGAACCATTGCTATAGAACAGTACATATTCTCTTCCATTAATGGATTTGTTTGGCCTTTCATATTTTTTCAGAACCTCAGGCATCTAATATCATCTTAGATGTTCGATCAGGAGGCAGCCATTGTGCTCCATCATGGGATGCTTCTTTAGAACAGGTATCCTTGTTGTGAACTTTTTTGCTATTGATAAGAAAACGCATAGTTCAATTAAACATACCTTGGATGTATTTGCTATCTTGTAAGGGAAGCTTCAGGGCCATCTATATCTGGAGAATAATATATGTAAACTTGGAATGTTTGTGATTCCCACCAGCCTTGTAGCCTTGTAAGCTACTCTCAAACTTCTTATTCATTCATCTATTTGCTGCCTGTCCCTTGAAACAATTCTCCATGCATCCCTCTCCTTCCTTTCCCTGGAGATCCAGTAGCATCAGGTGAAAAACCTTGCTCCCAGTTTTGTTCAGAAAGGCTTACTACATCCTTACCTACACAGTGACAATGCAGAATCGTATATCTCGAAGTGGGGTTCATTTATGTGGGTGGGTGTACTAAGTGCCTTTTGTTTCTGATCATGGGGCATTCTTGGCAAAGATACTGGAGTGGAATTGCCGGTTCCTACCCCAGGTACTAAGTGCCCTGACACCCTGTCACCAAACTCTTGGAAGGCTAAAGAAAATATGTGTACTGAGCACATTGTTATAGACATAGGCTGAACATGTGCATCAATATTTTGTGGATCTGCATAACTGCATAAATGCCTCAGAGTCACTTTGGGCAAGGTGGTGGGAGACACAGCGTGATTTTCACACCTAGTGTAAGTAAGCTATTGAAATAGCTTGGTTGTGTTTTCGCTAAAATATTGCTTGTTATTCTTTATCATGTGTCAATAAAATGTAATTGTATTGCTCTCCGGCTTCAGAGTGGCACAGGCTGAAAAAATCTACATAGAAGTACTTGTTGTTTGTTTATGAAGAGGAGTACAGAACAACTTGACAACAAAGCCCAATAGGTGGTACAGTGGGACCCCAGTATCCATGGAGGATCAATTCCAAGATCCCACTGATGCTTTAAAAATGCAGCTTATAGCAAACACTATTTTAATAGTGAATGCTATACATAACGTAGTCTCTGGCTCCCTCTAGCTGTCAGTTGTGGTAACTTCATCTTTAGAAATACATATTTCTAGGGTTATTAATATTTTCACAGCACATCATGGAGTCCTACTGCATCCAATTTTCTCATTGGCTGTGCAGTTCTCTTTCTGTGAACAGAAGTTCCTTCAGTTCACTGACCAAAAATATTAGATATCACCAATAAAAATACTTGCTGTATTTGTGTTGGATCCACGTCCTGCCTAGTGCCAGCAAAAGGTTTCCACTAACAGAAGATGCCTCTACCTGATTTCCAGGGCTCTCCTATTCCCTCCTACACTCACCCCATTCAGCAGACTTTCCCAACTCTTTTTGAAGCATTTTCAGGGGGTTGGTGGAGCTGTTCTGGGAAGAAAAAGTGAAGAAGCCCCTTCCAATAGGCCTGTAGCGCACACCTAAATCAGCATCCAGGTCTCTGCGAATAAGTACTTGTTCATAGCCAGACAAGATGGAAATCTACAGATCCTATTCATATGCATCCTCAAGCTGGAAAGCCTGTGGCACAATCCAAAGCTGCGCATGAACTGTGCTTGGCAAAAGGTTGGATTTAGTCATCTTCTTTACGCCCTTATAGTTGACTGGGTATGGAGGACAGTTCACCAGGCTCCTGCATATATACTGGGTTTCCTAGGTCACATAGCTAACCTGTCAGTGAAGGCTTTCCCCTCATATCCCCATATCCCCAACATCGATAAGCAGCACTGTTCATATGTGCTTCTTGATATATTTATCTGTACCACACTAGACTCCAGGCATAGGGAAACCTCTGTTCTTCCAGATGTTTTAGACTGGAACTCCCATAATTTCATTGGACTTGCATATTGGGCTTCTCAAAGTCCAAGACATCAAGAAAGCCAAAGATTTCCCACCCCACTCTTCATCTGGGGCTGGGTCTAGAATCTCCTTCTGATTGAAAGTTCCCTGTCCACAAAACCATAGCTTCGATTCTGCTTCTTTTCTGCAAGTGGCTCTATTTCCTGAGAGGAATCCCTATTCAGAAAGTTCCTGCCAATGGAAAAGTGGATATAGATATAGTGGATATATAGATAAATATGGGAACATAAACCATTGCTTTTTGTATGCAGTTCTCTGGTATTCAGCTATTTTGAAAGAACACATATGAAATTTTCTACTTAGCATAAGAATGCATACACACAAACAAGATACTTCCTTCATCCTCTGGCTGTGGTGGAAGGAAACAAAGCAATTTTGAAAGCATTTTGTGACACCAGCTTCAGAGCTGCTGCTGCTATTCTGGTCACAAGCTGTGTTCTACCTGACAGTAATGCTCAATTCACAGGAAGCTTTTCTGATCTCAGTGAAAAGCCTATTACAGCAGCTGCCGTTTTCTAAAGAGAATTGAGCAGGAAGAACTCTGATTACTCTTCAGACTGCAGGAGAACCCACATTATTATCCCCAGTGTTAGAAGAGCACGAATAGCTTTGGGAGGGGACCGGCAATGGAGTTCAAAGAGCTGGTAATACCTCTGAAGTGTGCAAAATACTACAAAGAATGAGTCTGTCATTCTTTAACGACTAAACTTCTTCAAATTTGTTTTAGGTTGCAACACAACTAGCATTTCTGTACAAAGAACTTGGACTTGATAAGCAGGGGTGAATCACCAGTGCTTGAGGTTTGTGCACCAGCTGCTAAAACCAGAAGAAGCGGTTTCGGCCGAACGATAAACTATTTTATCACTGATTATTTTAGAAATGGACAACTTTAAAAATACCACTAATTTACAACATTATGTTTTCTTGCAGAAAAAAAACAGATCAGTCTTGCATTTATATTCCTCCACATTTTGTGTTTTTTAATTGAATAAAACCATTATTTGTTTGTATACTTGTTTGTTAGCTTCTTATTCTTTGTAATCCTAAATGCACTCAAAGTAGTTCACAGATAATAAATAAAAATCACAAAATACAAATCAAGAATAAAATAGTGACCATAACAAAAAAAAATATTTAATCCATCAGAAACCAGTTCAGAAGAATACTTGTTGAAAATATATGGAATCATCTTTACCATTATCAAAAACAGACAGTGAGGGAGCCAAGTGCAGTCTTTTTAAGCAAGGCATTTTTAAGCAAAGGAAATTACTCAATATTCAAAGGGAGTTCTCAGAAAAATGCAAAAGAAGAGGTTGGCTCAAGGACACGTAAGAGCTGTACACATCCAAACACATAAGTTCAGTCTTCAAACTAACTATTAACCCATGCAATTATTAACGCATCGGAGGTGCTATGTGCTGATGTCATGGCCCCTGCCAGAATGTTGGTGGCCTCATTTTGGACCAAGCTTCCAGACTGACTTCAAGACTTCAGGACCACATAGACAGCCTTGCGGAGCCCACATTGGAGATGTTTGGCACAACATTGCTTTGCATTAATGTGGAAGTTAATCCCCAATAATACGTTTTTCTTTGTCTTCATGAGGTAGGGAATGAAACTTAACAACATGTATGTTAGAAACATTGATATTCCATAGAATTTTAGAACAGCAAGCGGATTGTGGTAATGGTGTCATTATTTTCTTTTAAATTATTTTTGATCAGAGATATTGCCCAGGCTGGGGTGACCCAGAGTGACTATGGCTCTAAATTACTACAACTATATGAGCTATCATAATTTTATACACAGCGGAATGATAGCAAATCTGTCTAAATTCCTGATATATTGGCCACCTTTGTAACAAAATCACATATGACAACTCTTGGATTTAGACTAAACATATGGCTTAGCAATACATGTGAAGTATATTGAAAGCACTAGAATAGCATGCCTTTTCTGCAACAAAGCACTTATCTTTGAAAGTCTCCATTTTGTGGATTGGCTTGGTGGTTCTGTATTCCAAGATAAGTCCTTCACCTTTTTCAGTGTTGATTGCTTTAGTACTTACAACCTTGTCATTATTGTTAAAGTTGGTGCTTAGCTTTATTAAAGCTTCTGAAGGAAGGTCAGGAACTGCAGCTTGAAGATCTGTGGTGGCCTTCAGTCCAAAATTCAGGACCATCATGAATACTCGGTTCAATCCATCCAGCTCTCTCACATATGCAAAGACATTGCTGTCATTCCAGATGTAACACATCCATCCCCTATGAATGGGAAGTTCATTGGTACGAAGGGAACTGAGTTCTCGATACAAGTTAAGGGTAGAATTCTGTTGAGTCTGTTGAACCTGTAACATAATTGTGCAGCAAGTAATTTCTTAGATGCAAAAAAACACTTGTTTCTTGGTGTGCAACCGCCACTCTAATTCTGCCACACTCAACAAATCAAAACACTTTCTCCCTTGCCACTCCATCTTTTTTTTAATAATGGTGGGTGATTGCCTTATTATGACAAGGTAGCTGATATTTCTTCCGGTTTGCACCAATAATTAACAAATTAGAAATAGGGAAATGCCCCAGTACTTTAGTGGTAAAATTCCATTGCTGTATCAGCTGTGTTATGGGTGGTAGGGCCAAAGGAGGGGGTGAGTATGTCAGGAAAGATCTCCTCATTGACTAGATGGAAGAGAAAAACATTTTAAATGACAAGTAAAGAGACAAGTGTAAAAGATCCATCACCCACCAAGTTCTAAAGAACACACGAGCCATTTGAATTGATGATGTGATGGCACCTCTAACAGAGTCTTCCAGAATCACCACTCTCTTAGGGTGGTTCTAGCTATAACTAAATTAGAAAACAATCTCATGTTTCCCATCCATTCTGTGAATCTGAGAAGAAGGCTACTGGTATGAGCGTGTGCTTGCGTTGCCCTGCTATGTGTCTGGGAGGATAGACCTTAACCAGAGTTGAATGACCCTACTTATTTTTTTAATTTGTTTTCTTTAAAGATGGAGCGTGCTGCCGAAGTCTGTGTGGCAAAAGAAAGCAATCTTTAATAATTTTGTTTGTTCATTTGTTTATATTAATTAGCTTCTGCTTTCATACTTACTTTCACATTAATATTTAGGTAGTCATGATTCACAGATATCCAGGTTGTGTTGCCATCACTAAAGCCTGCATAAGGACTATCATCCCATTGCATGGGTGTCTTTTCTGGAAAGGTTGTCTAACAAGAGAAAATGGTATTCACTGTTAAACAAAATACCATGATCACTGTTGCTGAAAAAAAGGATTCCTTATAAAATAGCTCCAGAACCAGAAGATTCTAAGTGTCAAGAAGTTATACTTAGAAAGAGAGGTTACCTACCTGTAACTCTGGTTCTTTGAGTGGTCATCTGAATTCACACTATAGGGTTCAATCTGCGCTTGCACAGAGGTTTCTGGAATATTCTAGAGCTTTATCATGCATTCGCCAGAGCCCCCCCCCAATAAACGTGGTCTGCCCCTCCTGGCAACTCCTAGGAACAGTCCACCACTGCATCAGAGGTGAGATAGACATGTCGGACAGAGGGGAAGACGGGCAGAAAGTGTGAATTCACAGATGACCACTTGAAGAACCAGAGTTACAGGTAGGTAACCTCTCTTTCTCCTTCATGGTCTCTGTGAATGCTACAGGGTGATTAAAAAGCTGACTTAGTGGAGGAGGGACATCACAGAAGGCTAGAAGAGAGCACAGCTCTGCCGAAGACTGCATAAGTCTTAGCTCTGACAATTAGGCGGTAATGAGTGGCAAATATGGAAGGGGTTGCTCAGGTAGGAGCCTTGCAGATGTCTGGGAGAGATACAAGAAAGCTATGGAGGTACAACAGCTCTGGTGGATTGAGCCTTAATACCTACAGGCAGAGGCTTCTTGGCGAGTTGGTATGCCAGTCGTATAGTTGCGACAACCCATCACGGTCTGAGGAGAGACATGAGAGCCTCTGTGCAGCAACTGTGGCATGATAAAGGGAGCCCAGAGACCTTTGGGTAGTGTGGGCGGCATATAAGTTAAATAAACAAAATAAATAAAAAGCTTCTTTGACTTGCAGAAGGAGGAAGTTCGAGAAACATAAAACGCGGCGGCTCATTTAACATTCAACATATGGAAAGAGTGTTCAAGGTCGGTTGTTGGTGATGGAAAAAAGGTTGGTAAAATAATAGGTTGTTTAATATGGAAATCCAAGACAACCTTCGGAAGAAAGGAGACATAAGGATAAAGTATAACTTTGTCAGGGTGGAATTGAAGGAATGGAGAGTCTACACAAAGGGCGGCAAGTTCTGAAGCTCTGTGAGCGTAGACTCTCCATTCCTTCAATTCCACCTCCATCTCTATTTTTTTTCCCCAAGATGGCCGCGCATTCAGGTGCTGCAGCTCAGTGCTCTTCGACTTGGCGTTCTTTATGGATGTTTTTGTGTGTATTATCTTGTGTTGCGAATACCTCCGGCGGAGTGAATATACTCTACAGCAATTGTGAACTTATGAGGATTGGACTGCAATGTAAACAAGAGATAACAGCTAAGTTTATTTGGAAACATGGCATACCATCAGAGATTGCAAGGTCTCCCGGCTCTCTGTGGACTGTAATTCCGGCAAGAATGAGAGTGAGAAGGAAAAGAAAACGAAAGGAGAGGAAGAAGAAAAGGGGCTGCAGGGCTGGTGTTTTGTATAGGCTGCAAAAAACAAACGAAGCGGCTACCACTCCCAAGTCTCTTTCTGACTAATGCCAGATCAGTGGCAAACAAGATGGATGACTTAAGGTTACAGGTCTCCTCAAGTAAGTTTGTGAAAAACTGTTGCGTGTTGTTAATCACTGAAACCTGGCTGAACCCCACTATTCCAAATACTGTTATTGATATGGAAGGTTTTTTATTACATTGTTTGGACAGGGACAGGAATGTGGGGAAGTGCAGAGGAGGAGGATTGTGCGTGTTTGTTAGAGAGAGCTGGTGCACAAACTCAGAGATTATAACACGTCATTGCTCTTTGGAGCTGGAATATCTGTCTGTTAAATGCAGACCTTTTTACCTTCCACGGGAATTCAGCGTTGTTATTATTCTTGTTGTTTATATTCCGCCGGATGCAAATGCGGATTTGGCGCTGGGTCATCTGGGCGATGAAATTGGCAACTTGCAAAGTAAATTTCCGGATGCTGTATACATTATTGCAGGAGACTTCAATCATGTAGATCTACGTGCAGTCCTCCCCAAATTCCATCAACATGTAAGGTGTGCTACTAGGGGGCTGAACACCTTAGATAAGGTCTACACGAATATTGCAAATGGATAACACCACCTTTCTCCTTAAAAATGAGCCAAGGCAACTTACATCATTAAAAGACAACATTTAAAGCTAAAAACAACAAGTATACAAATATTAAAAAAGATCAAACAGATGCCACTTGGAGAAATGGTAAACCAATACTAAAAACAAAGTCAAAGCAGTAATGCTTTGGCGAAAAAAGAAATCCCACTCAGGCAGCCAGCCTGAGGGAAAGCTTGCCTGAAGAGAAAGGTCTCCCTTTGCCTGCTTGAGGAAGGACAGTAAAGATCGGGCCAGACTAGCTCCCTATGGGAAGGAGTTCCAAAGTCTGGGAGCAGCAACAGAGAAGGCCCCCTCCTGTGTCTCCATCAAATGAAGGTGGTGGGAATGAGGGAAAGGTAACTAAGGCCACTCCCATTGCGTTCCTCCCTTCCGAGCAGTGATGTGTCTGAAGAGGAGAGGATTCTGCTTCCCCTGTTGGTTCTACATGTGAGAGAGGGGCTTAACGTAGCAAGAGGGGGAAAGGACAGAGGACAACACTCAAGGCAGTTCATGTGCTGCTGCACGTTCGCTTTGGCTAATGCTAGTCAGAAGATCCCAGCCTAGACAAGACGAAAGGAAAATAGAAGAAGGTAACCCTGAAGTTTAGAGGGGGGGAAGGGACTGTCAGGCCAAGACTGACTGAAGCCTAATCATTCAAAGCTCAGAAAAGAAAGCAAACACCCAATACAGTCTCACACCATCTGTCATATATCAAAGTGAAACTAAATAAGCCACTGCAGCACCTCCCTAACATAGCTAGCAGCTAAGTGAACGGAGAACAAACACTGTATGCAAAACAATATAGCCCAAGTGATCTCGTGGCACCGTGTGGGAAAGTAGTTAAACTGCAGTACTGCAGTCAAGACTCTGCTTGTGACCTGAGTTCAATCCCAGTGGGCTCAGGTAGCTGGCTGGAAGTTAACTCAGCCTTCCATCCTTCCAAGGACAGTAAAGTGAGCTACACAGGCGCTGTCCGCTTCAACTGGAGCCACATTTGGCTCAATACAAGTGTCCACAGTTTTGCCAGGCAATCAGCATTTGACCAAAGCAAGTAGGCAGCTTCAGGAATATGGAAAGGATAATTACCTCCAAAGATATGTATGGACACCTCTCATGTATGTGAATGGGGGTGTCCATCTGTGCATGAAAAATAATGTCCATGAAACAGAGAGAGAGAGAGAGAGAGAGAGAGAGAGAGAGAGAGATGTTCTCTTATTCATTTTCTGGGGATGATGAGTCTGCGTATCGGGATGAGGTATTACAGCTATCCCGCTGGTGCAAAAAAAATAATCTTTTATTTAACATCCAAAAAACCAAGGAATTCATAGTGGACTATAGGAAAAAAAGAGCAGACATTCAGCCGCTGTATATAGATGGAGTTTGTGTGGAACAGGTGGTTGAATGTAAGTTTCTTGGGACCATCATAACAAATGACCTGACTTGGAGTGCAAACACCGCTGCGTTAATCAGGAAGGCGCAACAACGGTTGTATTTCCTAAGGACTCTTAGAAAGCAGCAATTGACTGAGAGTTTGTTAACTACCTTCTATCGGAGTTCGATTGAGAGCATATTATCCTACTGTCTCTGTGTATGGTTCACGAGCTGCACAGTGGCAGAGAAAAAGGCAATTCAAAGGGTGATTAAGACGGCCCAAAACATCATTGGCTGTTCACTCCCCTCTTTGGAAGAATTGTATAAGAACAGATGTAAGAGGAAGATATCTAACATACTGAAAGACTCCTCTCATCCGGGACATCAGCTCTTTAAATTATTACCATCGGGAAGGAGATTTAGGGTATTGAAAGCAAGGACAAGCAGATTCAAGAACAGCTTTTACCCAAGTGCAGTATTGAGTTTAAATGCGGGGTCATAAGTTTTTGGTGGAATTTTAATTGCTGGGAGAAACGGGGTATTTATATTTGTATGGTGAGTGTTGTGTATATTTTTAACTTTTTTTTGTAGTGGTGTTGTCCAGTTTTACCTTGGGGAAGAGCACCTCATTTCGTTGCACCCATTTGTGAGTGCAATGACAAATAAATTTCTTATGTCTTATGTCTTATGTCTTCCACCCTGACAAAGTAATAGCCACTAAGAACAGAGTCTTAAGGGAGAGGAAACATTCAGACATAGTTGCAAGTGGTTCAAATACATGGAGTGTGAGCTTTGAGATCTTGGACGTTGAGAATGGGATGCAAACCTCCATTGCATTTTGGGACAGTAAAGTAACGGGAGAAGAACCCAGGATCGTTTTCTGGCAGGTTGACAGGTGATATCGCATCCTTCATGAGAAGGGATTGCATCTCTTGTTTCAGGACCTCTGATGGTGCCATTAGAACGGTCCTTGGTGGTGGTGAGAGTGCAAATTCTATTGCATAGCCAGTGGCGATGATAGTGAGGACCCAGGAATTGGTGGTGATAGATGCCCAAGATGGAAGATGAGCTAAAAGACAGGTGGTGCTAGGTAGAGAGAGATGGGGTAAGCAGATCTGAGCGACGGGCGAAGGCTCTGTTTTGTTTTCTTCTCAGGACATCTGAAGGATTGTTTGGGGTGCTGATGTTGTGAGCAAAGCCAAGCATGTCTACGAAGGGCTACAGCAGTAGCCATGTGTTTTGATGCGGCTTCAATGATGTGTCGTGCGGTGATGCACTCTTGACGTGCAAGGGCCATAGCTTCTTGGTGAAAGGTGAGGCCACGAGCTTTATACTCATCTGTTGCTGACTGGAGTGTTGGAAGGGCCTTATTCCAGAGGAAGTGACGATAGGCTCCCGTGGCTGCAAGATAATTAGCGGCATGTAGGGTAAAAGAGGCAAGAGAATAAACTCTGTGGCCGATAATGTCCAATTTTCTACTTTCCCTGTTGTTAGGAGTGGCATTAGAGCAATTTCGTGCTCTGTTTTGTGTAGCATCCACAACAATAGAATTTGGAGGTGGATGTTTCAAAAGAAAGCTTTCTATGCGTTTTGTATAAATTTTCCACCCTCCGAGACATTTGTGGTACCGAGGATGGTTAGGACCATGACTTTAATTAACTTCAACATACGGAGAAGCAGAGATGTTGGGACGAGGCTCTGGTATGTACTGTGTAGGTTTGCCAAGAGTATGTTTAGGCAGTACGGGGTGAGTTAATGAGGTTTTGGGTGTTTCTTTTGATGCTGTTGAGCAGTATCAAAAGGCACAGGTGGGGGTCCAGTATACGTGGCTGTTACTTGTAAGGAAGAAGCATGGACCTGGGAAAGTGTAGTGGGCTCAGTAGACAAAGGTGGAACCTTAACTGATGACTAAGATTACTTGGGTACCATCGGTGGTTGACCTATGAAAGGTTCAGGAATATGACTCCTCTTGCGAGAGGACCTATGTGGCTTCGGTATCATCGGTAGAGGTGTGGAGTCATCCTTGGATGAGGTTTTGTAGTATTCATGGGACCGCAATCACTACCAAGGAGGAGATGGTGAATCCAATACATCAGATGGATAGTAGTATCCATACTGTGAACGTTTAGGCTCAATGTGTAGTTCAGTACTAGGTTGCCAATATCGATACACCTGATGTCAATAGTGTTTCGATGGAGGCTCATAATAAGTTGGTGGTTTGTAGAGCGTGACTCACTTTGGGTGTCAATATTGAGTCAAAGAATCATGTGATGCCAACAGCCCCGTAGAAGTCGGAGGTGGTGCAAGATCGGCATTGGATCGGCAAGCCTCTGGTGTATGGTGAGTCTTCCTGGATCACTTACGCAGAGGTAAAGCAGATACCGACGCCGAATCACACACAGAGACTGAGTAACCCATGGATTTGGGACTTGAATGTGCTGATTGGGAGATAACTGTCACCTCAGCTGAGGTGTTGGCCCAAGATGGAGACTGAGCAAGGAGTGGACACGGTGGTTGACCAGAAGGTGGTGGCATGAAATCATCAAGCGGAGAGTCAAGGCAAACAGTTGGCTGATCCTATAGAGGAATTATTAGAGTAGTTTTATCAGTTATCATAGATCCTATAGAGGATTGGGAATCCGAAGAGGATTTCTTGGTCTTCTTAGGTTTGGAGTGTTCCAGTACTGAAGGAAGGTTCGGTGTTGGTATCGACTTAGTCGTTGATGCTGAAGACTTAGATTTAGAAGTGGATTAAGATTTGGTTTTAGAACTTGGTAGCCTCGATGTCGGAGAAGCGGTGGGAACCTCAGGGGAGCCTTTGTGGGGTTGAGAAGTTTGGAAAGCCTCCATAGTTTGTGCTGGGCATAGAGTATGTTCCCAGAGAAAAGATTTGAGATGTTGCTGTTGGAGCTTGAGGGCTTGTTTAGTAAAGTTTTTACAAAACTGGCACAAAGATGGTTGGTGAGATTCCCAGAGGCAGAAGAGACAAAGATCGTGTCCGTCTGAGAGGGAGAACTTGTTGGGGCATGAGGTGCACCATTCAAGCAGTGCTACAAGGGCCATAAACAGCAGGAAGGGAGGGAAGGGGGGGCAATCAAAAGAGGGAGAAATAGCTTGAAAAGTCCCTTACAATTTTCCCTCTGTATTTTTATTTTAGGAAGAATTTGAGAGCAGTGGCAAACAGAGAGCTCAACGAGAGATGAAACCTCACTGGTGGCAAAAAGGAACTGAGGCGGTCGCCAGGATGGGCGGACCACATGTACAAAGGGGGCAGTCCTGGCGAACGCACGATAAAGCTCTAGAATATTCCGGAAACCTCTGCACAAGCGCAGATTAAACCCTATTGTGTGTATTCACAGAGACCACGAAGAAGAAGCAAAACCATGAGTAGAGTTTATTTCATGTTATATGCTATCAAATTGGAACTGACTGACAGCGATGCTAATAGAGCTTTCATGGTAAGTGAGATATATAAGGAGTGCTTTTACCAGTTCCACACACCCAGTGAGTTTTCATGGCTGAGCAGAGCAGGGATTCGGACTGAGGCTTCCTGAGCACTAGTGTGTCACTATCCACTAAACCATGGATATTTATATTCAGCATTTAGTACGTCAGATGCAAGCAATAAGAAAACAAATCAGCTATAGCAGGAAATCTGCAAACAAACTTGGCTTGTATCAGAAGTGCTCTCTCTCAAGAATACAGCAGAGGCCTTTATGAAGACGAGGCCACTCCTGGGCTCATTTAACATAAAGAATTTGAAGTGTTTTCTTTATTTTGGAATTATTTGTAAATATGCAATCTGTAATTTACAAATAACCCCCCCCCCAAAAAAAAGATTGCTGATAACCTGCATTTGGCAAGATTTGCTACATGCAGGAAAAGTCCTTTTTCAACACGAGGTTTTGGTTTCCTTTGTAATACACTTACTGATTTAAGGTTGGAATTTCAGAATTTTAAACTCACAATTTCTGACAGGGTATCTTCCATCCCAATTTCTTCACCGTAGTATGTTGTAGCTGTTCCAGGAAGGGTTAAAAGAAGCATGTTTATCACATTTATGTATTCCTTCCCAATCCGAGAGGAGACTCGAGCACTGTTGGGGTCGCCGACCTAAAATGAAAATAAACTCTGGTGCTCAGTTCTATTAACGCTAAAGCAAAACAAAAGCAAAGTGTGCTGTTTATATACCAGTCCTTGGTGCTTAAAGCTCTCTATGGGTGGTTTGCAGGCTACACATTACCCTCCCCCCCCCGTACTCTCTGAGTAATCAATTTACCAACTTTGGAAGGATAGAAGGCTGAGTCAACCTCAAGCTGGCTACCTGAGCCCGGGATACAACTCTGGCCATGAGCAGAGTCTACACTGCAGTACTGCAGTTTAACTGCTGCACCACAAGGCTCTGCTTGCAGAAACCCATTTTCATCCATGTTTGAGTGTCCCATCCTGTACTTTGATCCAGCTCATGCAAGGATTGGCCCAAGCACTATTACCATTATGACTCCATGCATTAGTCATTCTGCTAGTGCAGATGGCCAACATTGGTGGGTTTGAGGGGGGAAGGGGTCAATCTTCTGCCTCTGGAACTGTCTAAGTGGGTGCACAGACCATCAAAATGTGAAGAGGAGGAGGAGGAGGAACCACCACCACCAGAACTAGTTATAAGTTCACTTCCAGTTTTGAAAAATTGGTATGTCTTGTGCTGAAACCTATTGAGAAATGGAATTGCTAACCCCAACAACTCAGGGTGATTCACCTTTTTTTCCCTGGAGAAAGAGGGGACTCTGACCATTTGCCCTCCTCTGCACTGGTGCACATGCAACCCCTATGGACTATTTGATTCAGCTGAATGGGTGGAGAAATCTTAGCAAGGGGCATAGATTCAAGATTTGAATTGAGAAAGAGCAGGAGAGTTGGCAAGGCACGAGCTGCTGTTCTCCTGGAGGATGATAAGTCACTTACTGCAGAATCTGAATATGTTTGTGCAGGATGAGCACTGGAAGGGTGAATACTTATAGTAAGTTTTTTTTTAAAAAAAAATAGTTTTTCAATCTATCTACATTCAATTCGTGCTTGTTAAACATTGTGTTACATGAGTTGCTTATAATTATTTGGCTTTTTGTGTCTCGGTGTCTTCTTAGTAGTCTCTTCAAAATCTATACATTTTTTAAACATTTGAATCATTCATGTGTGTATTTTAGTATACAATACTGGCTATCATAATATTGCTCTCTGAGTATACAATGCTCTCAAAATCCTCTAGAAATATACCTAATAAAACTAATTCCAGTTCCAAATCTATATAATTTTGAGGTGATTTAACCAACAAACTTTATATTTTATACCAATAATAACTGAGTAGTTCCTAGCACATAATACTGTAGGTGTTATCTAAAGCATTTTATACAGATTTTCTTTATATAATTGTTTAGCCATTTCTGTCTCCACCTTTTCTATCATGTCTATATCAGTATCTAGGGTTAGAATTAAATCATCTAAATTTTTCCCTCTGATTTCCTTCAGCCCTTCTTTTGGTTGGTATACATCGTCCACCACCCTCACATTTCTTTGTTCATTATTCCCTGTCTCCTGTTCAATATAGTCCTTCTTTAGTTGCTCCTTGAATGATTTCACCTCTTCGTTATGGGATCTCACTATTTTTAAGATTGCTTGAAGGATAGATTTTGTTTGATCCCAAAATTTCCCTTGACGTAGCATTATGTCTCAAGATGCCAAGTACTTGTATTTCAAATAAAAGATGTCCAGTAGCTTAGAGCAGTCAGTCCAATGCCATTAATAATTGTTTCAATAAGTCCACTTTAGTAAATTGATCAGTAAATTTGATCAACTTTAGAGTTAATTTGAATCCAGTCTCTGACGCAGGTTGACAGCCGCATTCACTCAATGTTTATATTAGACTTTCCGAAGTTAATTGTCTATGTTTTAGTCAGTTCTTAGGGGGGGAAAGGAAAGTCAAAACAGAGTTCCAAGTTTGAGTATTCAAGGTCATAACACCAAAATAATACCAAACATCCTTCCTTGAAGTATAATTAAGTGTTTAAATAATGTCCAATTTATTTTCTTTGTATTTCTTTGCGTCATCTCTTTCCCCTTCTCCAGACCCATCGCTGCTCAATTTAGTAGTGGGGCTAAGAGATTTTTTTTCCCTGTTAAATGGATTATTCCATCCAGAGATAGTCAAAGAGTACTATAATTAAGATTTTGTACATCACCCAGTGGTAATGAAAATGTTAAATTAGCTGATTTATCACTTCTTTTGCTGGCTGCCGACAACTTGCAAGCAAGCTAATTCAGCTGCTTGTTTCTGCCCCCTGGTTGATTGGGGAGTTTCCTGGATCCAATGTGGGTAACCACCATCCTCGCAATGATCAGGCTTCTCCCTCATTTCACCACCTCTTCGGGGTGGTTTTAACCCCCTGGGGGGTCCCAAAAAGGTCGGAATTCAGCCCAGGGGATGGACCTCTGTCCTCCTCCTGCTGTCTCATTGCAGCGTCAAGCCAGAAGATCCAGCTTTTTTTTTGCATTTGCATTTGCATCTGCATTGTAATTAAGGGTTTAAAAGACTGTATATTTGGAGCTCTTTGCTTTATGTTGTGGATCTCCTATCTTGTTGATAAATATATCTGGGACATATATTTGTTTCTTCGTGAAACTCCTCCTCTGGGTCTCTCTCTCTCTCTCTCTCTCTCTCTCTCTCTCTCTCTCTGTGTGTGTGTGTGTGTGTGTGTGTGTGTTTAAGCAACACTTGCTTAAACTAAATATTCAGCCCCATAGAACTCAGGAGTGTTACTTATATGCAATGACTAGAAGCACATGCAGCCCCTAGCAGAAGAATACTGTCTCTGCTATCACTATGCTGGACACAATTTTTATGTGTTATCTTTATTTTTATCTTAATCTTTGCATCAGGCAGCAAATTCTCTTGATCCAGCTCTGATTTTCCCGTAACATTCATAAAGGTCATATCCTGTTCTCACTAGAACAATATATATGCAACTTTTGAGATTTAAACAAATGAAGTTAGCATTTCCAATGAGGTAATCATTATTTTCAGAAATGGCCTATCTGATGAAGTACTTGGATAGATTATACCACCTATGAAAAATTCTCATTCATAATTTTATTATATTGACTGAGTGCTCACATGTTTTTTAATCATGTCGCTCAATATTCACAATAAACTGGTTTAATATTGTTTTCCGCTAAAAGAGATTTTGCTCCATGCCGAGCAGAGGAAATAAATTGTTCTGAGGTGATTAAACACAAAGGAACGGTCTTGTCAAAGGAAGCCTAATTATCAAAGATAAAAAAAACTCCTCAGTGCTACAAAATATTAAATTTAAACAGCAGGGTATCCCATTTTATTATACAAAGGCACAAAAGGCAGCGCAAGCAGACAAACAGTGTCATCATTTTGATAATTTCTGCATCTTGTTATTTTGGAGAGTCGCCCTCGTTTCTTTCATGGTTCAGGAAACCATGTGACTAACACCCAATTCCCATTAGGGCATCAGAGTTGTTTTTAAGACTTTTCTTTGCAGCCCCTAACCTTTATAAGACTCCTTTTGAAATGTGGCCAGTTAAAAACGATCTTTTTTTGAGAGTGAAGGCAAATACAGTACGAAGCCCCAGCTCAGCCATGAACTGGAAAGGTAATCTTGGGCTGCTTACTACTTCCCTCAGTGCTGCCATCTGCACTTTGGAAGGGAGGTAACAATCACGATTCAAAACACTGCAACTTTTAATTTCCTGCTCAGAAACAAAGGGACTGTGTGGAACCGTCATTTTAGTTCGATTACAACTCCCATATCCCCCCCAGCCTGTTGGGAATTCTGGGAAATGTCCACAAAGAGTAAATTTCCAAACCTGCAAGTAAGTTGCATTGACTTCAATAAGACTTAGTCCCTCCTCCGGACACAAACGTACTAGGAAATCATTCCCATTGATTTCAATAGTTTTTCTTCTGTGTAGGTATGCATCTTATCTGGTCTAGTTAATATCAGATCAGAGTGGGGATTTCCAAGTATGACTAGGAAAAAATCTTGTCAGCCACAGCTGACAATACTGGGCTAGATTCAGTACAAGGCAAGTTCTTACAAGTGGATACACTGCAATACCAATAAATAAAATAAGCAGTTGTTCAACTATTTTTGATGGAAGTTCTAAATGTTTACGTTGCAAATTGTAAAGAAAAAAAAAAGGCATGAGCCCTCATCAGGAGAAGCTTACCGCCCAGTTCGGCCATTTCGCTCTTGGCATGTTCTTCATCCACAAAGCCACCATTTCAAAAATGCTGTTTCCTGAGATTTCTTCCATCTTTAGAAGGTAGCGGTTAAAAGGAAAGTCAGCTTCTTGAATAAAAGATGTCCCATAAAACATCATAGTTCCTTCAATGTTGTCATCAGCATCTGTGCCCATAAACCTTTAAAAGCAAGATAACATTTTTGCATGCATGTGGGATTTTTTTTTAAAAAAAGTTTTACATAAGTGTTATTTTTTTATGTCAAAACCAAAGTCATCCAGAGAAGCGACTGTGAAACTGGGGTTCATCATCGAACGTCACTTTTGATCCTGGCAGCTGTAAAGTTGTTCAGTGTGGTTCAAGTCTGGAAACATCTTTTTTTTTGGGGGGGACTACCCCTCCCAGAATGCTAAAAGTGATCATCTGAAAAATTAACGTTGCTGAACTCGTACCTGTATCTCCCAGGTTCAGTGCTGAACTTATCCATGGTGTGCCGAAAACTGCGGACAATGTCATGCATACCAACCTGGGTGGTGGTATAATCATGATATAGGTCGGAATAAGCTGTGATGCTGTCCTTGAAGAGCAATGAGATGTTTGTCATTAATGCACTAATTAATTGCAATTTCTGTTGCCCTCCCCAGAAATAAATCTGCCAGTTTTTCTTGTTTCCTTTGAGACTTTGGAGACCCCTGTGTGCAATGTTACTATAGTCAGGTCTCCAAGGAAGATCCCAACATGCAGGAAACTGGTCATTCATATCAACAAATCAATCCTGGCACTTTTATTTCCACCAGGAGAGGTCTTTTATAAAGTTAAGGGTTCTTAATCATCCATTCAAACCATTCAAACCATTGTCAGATAGCCATTGCCAGATTGCAGAACAAGAAAAACAGAGAGGATGGAAGATGACATTACCATCTCCTCAAATCAGAAAATACTGCATAGGGCCTTCTCTGTGCTTGCTCCCAGGTTGTGGACTGCTCTCTCCTTGGGAGAATAGATTAGCCCATCTCTTTTATCCTTCCACCCCCAGGTAAAGACCCACCCATAACTGAGTCCCTGGATGCTGGGTTTTCACTAATTAGGTTTGTTTTTTGAAGTTTTAAATCTTTGTGATCACTTGATACATTATTGTTATTATTGTTTAATTTTTTATGTGTAATTTATTGTGTTTTTACTTTTTTTAACATTGTGAGCCACCTTGAGTCTCAAATGAGACTGACTACATACATACATAGCACAGCTAATAAATAAATAAATAAATAAATAAATAAATAAATACATACATACATACATACATACATACATACATACATACATACATACATACATACATACATACATACATACACTTTAACCCTTCAAGCTTTGGCTCCATTGCAACATTCATGTGGACGTGTGGGTACACAGGTCGCCCACATACCTACCAACTTTAGCAATTATCAGAAACAATGCAATACCACTGGCAAGTGCTGTAAAACGTGACTTGTTCTATGTGTCCGTCTTCCCTGAGAGAAGAAAGCAGAAAAACTCTTACCGGATTTTGGGATTTATTCACTTGTGGCTCATCTCTCAGGTGTGTTGCTTCCAGGAGGAATTTAGCAGTACGAATGCTAAATCCATCAATACCTTTACCGAGCCAAAACCTAATAACATCCTGAATATAGGAAAGAGAAAATGAAGGGGTTTGTTTCTCCATATCTAAACCTACAGTGACTATATTTCACACAGTGTTACAAGCTGATTCTGTAATTTAGGTCAAAAACATACAGCAGACTGGGCAAATGGTACCATAGCTTTGCTGCTTTTCCATTCAAAGTTCGGTTACACTTTGAAATGAAACAGCCATGGCTTCCAAAGGAGAGTTGAAAAGAACAAGTATCTGAGTTGGTATATGTACGACTCAGGAATCCTGGGTTCATCCCTAATCAGTCATGAAGCACACTGGGTGACTTTGGACTGCTCGCTGTTCAAACCTAGGCCAGCAAACATGGCTGGATCACATGCCGGTCTAGACTTGACCTCTGTCCCATCAGCTTACAACATTGGCAAATACCCAGGTCTTAGAAAAGCCACTATGGACTACATCTCCTAGAACACTGGTTCTTAACCTTGGGTTACTCAGGAGTTTTGGACTGCAACTCCCAGAAGCCTTCACCACCAACTGTGCTGGCTGGGGTTTCTGAGAGTTGCAGTTCAAAAACATCAGAGTAACAAAGGTTAAGAACCACTGTCCTAGAAAACCCCCATCTAGCCTAGCTAGGGAGAGGCTCATTGCAGTTGTAGTCCAAAAAGGGGGCTTTCCAAGCTCTGAAAATGCCACTCCAGTGATGATGTGGTTGATCTTGCTGTACCACCACTAAGGAACCCCACATTCTGATTCCGATGCATCCCTGACTCACGCCCTTATGTTTCACAGAGGTGCATCCAGTTCTGGTGTATATGTTCAGTCACTGATCATCCCTTTCTCTGATCAGACCCTCTCACCACTGAAATTCCTTCCCACTACCAGCTCATGCGACACCATAAGTAGAATGCTAAAGCTTCTCTTAGACTGTGACACTTCAAGTTGCAAAATAGAGATAGAAAGTTTGTGCCCATAGAAAATGTGTGAATCAGGGGGAAACTTCATCATATCCTAACACACCACTTTTCTATGGGCAGATATTCTTTTTCCTGTGGGAGTATTCAAACCTGCAACTCACCTACCATGCCAAGATCTGCTTTATTGCATGCTACTATACATTTCTAAATCCCTGACATCTTACTGCATTCTCATCTCAGTTGGCAACACTGACATAATATAACTGGTCATATTCAAAATAAATTCTCATTATTCCCTCTTCCCAAATTTATCATAATCGTAATAATGATTACATAATCATTAGCTGCTTCAAACCATATTGCTTGATGGAAGGACTATTTACCTTTCTTAATAAGAAGAATTCCTTTGATACTCACATGAATTTCATCTTTAACGTCTTGGTTACGAAAGTTTAAATCTGGCTGCTCTTTTCCAAACTGATGAAAATAGCACTGGTTTCTTACAGCATCATACTCCCAACTGGAATTCCCTACTATGCTCACCTAATTGCACAAGAAGGACAATATCCCTTTGATGAGGTTATTTAGAACAATACTTATTACAATGCCAAACAATGAAACACATTTTACCATGTTCATATACGTCAAACACATTGGCTAAAATCCTGATGACAATGTTATTCTTCCATGTTTCCATGTTTTCATCTTTTAATTTATTTTTATTTTATTTTAAATCATGTATTAATCATGCTTAATTTGGCTTTTAATATTTAACTTATTGTGTTTTAATTGTGTGAATTGTAATGCTGTGAGCTGCCTTGGGTCCCTTGGTTAAGAGAAATGTGGCGGCATCATCATCATCATCATCATCATCATCATCATCATCATCATCATCATATGCAGGGAAAAATGAACTTGATGGCACATAATTTTTATTATTATTATGGATGTGGTAGAAATGTAACTATGAAGGCTGCATATTTTGTATCTGTATTAATATGTGCTAGAAGGAAGTTCTTAAATAACAAAGCTGTTCCTTCTCCGGATGACTTTCTCAGTGTTGGTTTTGCATAACATTTGACTTTTTTAATGATATAATATATGCCTTTTTAAAAAATGATTTAGACAATTTGATGTTGCATAGTTGTCTATGGATTTTGTGCTTCACAATGATCTGAAGATTAGATACAACTGAAATGAAATCACTACATTAGTATTCCTTACTTAAGAATATTTGAAGCATGATCGGCATTTAAGATAAATTTGGCATAAATCTATGCCGCTACAATCAAAGGAGAGATCCTTTGGAAGAATTAATCTCACAATTATCATAGTTAATTGAAGAAAAGAATGTTGTGTCCCATTATACATTTTACATTAGTAAGCTAGACCAGTTTAACTTCAATATTTGCTTTCCCTGACCAACATTCAATTAACAAATGTTGATATTCTTCCATTTAGTGACTATGTCAAATCCATCCGTAAATTATTTAAGTATATCCGTTTGCTTGACAATAACCAAGGACTTCTCTCTAATTCTTGGTTGGCTTGCTTTAAAATTTTACAATCCCTTGTTTTTCCCACAAAGAAAAGTTAAAAGTGAACTGATAAAACATAAGAAGATTCACAGAATCTTAGAGCTGTAGAGTTGGAAGGGACTTCAAAGACCATTTAGTCCAAAATCCCACAGTTAAAGCATTACAGACAAACGGCGATCTGACCTCTTGAAACCTCTGGTGAAGGAAAATACACCACCTTCTGAGATCCTCCATTTGACTGCCAACAGTTATTTCCAGCAATAGGTTCTTCCTATTAAGTTAAGCTGTAGCCTCCTTCCTTGTATTGCAAGCCATCTCACTTTAAGACAGAATGTAAGTCAGAAAGAACAATTCTGCAGGAAAAGCCTGGGTGCCGTGCACCATCCTGGCAACCCTAAATACTTGTGGTTGAAGCAATTAAAATACTGTAATTCAGTATTTACTCACACCCTCCAAACATGAGTGGTGATAACACCAATCACTCCATTGAGCATACCCATTTGCTGTGGATGATGGGAGCTGTAATCCAAATACATCTGGAGGACACCAAGAAGAGGAAAAGGGGTATCCCATGCTAACTCTCTCCATCTCTTGTTGCCAGCATCCGGATGATGGGAGCTGTAATCCAAATACATCTAGAGGACACAAAGAAGAGGAAAAGGGCTATCCTTTCCACCCACAGTGTTGCAATCTTGTATCCTGTATATGAGTACATACTAACTCTCTCCATCTTTTGTTGCCAGCATCCTATACTTACCCAATTATTTGGTGGTATAGTGCTCCCATTGACATGTGTGCAGTCATGCCAGATGTAATAATCTGTGTATTTTCCTGTACGATTGCGACTGAGCTGAAACCACTTGTGTTTGTCACTGGTATGGTTAGGTATTAGATCCATTATCACTTTCAAACCTTACAAGTCAAGATGCAAAGAAAAGCATGTCAGACAGAAATCACATGTGCCATTCCTCAAAGAGAACTAGGCAGCTGTTGAGATTTAATATTAAAAGGGCCAATGTACAAGAGCAAAAGGGAGATAATAATGCTTCTCTATCGGAGAGTTTTGTTGCAAAGATTACTTTTTGCTGAAGTATGTGAAGCATTTGAAATGACATGGAGGTGGGGGGTGGAGCAAATTGCAATATTAATGTTTGTCACCATGACTTGTTAGATGTCCTGTTGAAAGGACCTGTAAAGATACAAACCTTGACGGCAAATGGAGTTTTCTAGTAATGAAATATTTTGTGCAACCAGAAAAGTCATGGGTTGCAAAAAGGGAACTTCCCAATCCCTTTGGGCTACACTTTTTGAAAAGCTGGTCTCGAAGGTACAATTATGGACACCCCAGAACTCATGTGAATGGAAGTCCGCTTCATTTGTGGTAGGACCCCCTTAGGAAACATAGGGAGAAAGTATATTGTGATTCAACCCAGGCTACATCACAATATACATAAGCACTGGAACAAGAAGCTCTACATCTCCTTTTTTCCCCAACAGCAGTGGATATCATTGCGTCCCTTGAGTGCTGCCTGGGGACTGTATTGCAATGGATGCAGGAGAAGGGACTGAGGCTGAACCTGGACAAGATGGAGGTTCTGAGGGTGGGCACCCCTCCTATCAGTGGCTTGGGAAGCTCCCTGTCTTTTTTTGGGGGGGTGACACTCACCACAAAGAGTGAGGTCCGCAGCTTGGGGGGGTCCAACTTGACCCGGCGCTTACCATGGAGTCCCAGGTAGCATCTGTGGTCCGCACCGCCCATCTACATATTTGGTGGATTGCTCAGCTTCGCTCCTATCTTGATGTTGGGGCACTCACCACTCTGGTACGTGGGTCCATGCACTCGTAATCTCAAGATTAGAGTACTGTAATGCACTCTACATGGGGCTACCCTTTAGACTGATGTGGAAACTACAAATGGTCCAGAATATGACCGCCAGATTATTTACTGGGGGGAAAAATACCATCACATTTCTGCCACTCTGGCAGCCTTACATTGGTTGCCTGTTCGTTTCCGCATTGACTTCAAGGTACTAATGGTTACATATAAAGCCCTATATGTTTTAGGACCTTGATAGACAGAGTGCCTGCTGCCACCTATTCTACTAATTCACTCGATCTAGCCAGGCTGGGCAACTGAGGGGCTTGACCCCAAGAGAGGCCCAGAAGGAGAGAACTAGGAGTTGGGCCTTCTCAGCGGTGGCCCCTCACCTCTGGAACATCTTGCCCCTTGAGATTCGCCTGGATCCCTCGCTGGGAGTTTTTAAGAACAAGCTGAAGACTTGGTTCTTCAGGCAAGCCTTTCCCTCTTCCATTTCTTAATTCCTTATGTCTTATTATCTTGTTCATTGATATGTTGTTTGATATTGTTTGTTTTAAATTTTGTTTCTAAGCCACCAGAGTAGATTCACTGAATCTAGATGGGCAGGGTAAACGTTGGAAAATAAATAAATAAAATAAAATAAAATAAAAAGATAGGCCCTGCTCCATTAGAGGAAAGCCAACCTTTCTCATGGATTGATGCCACCAGGTTTTCAAAATCCTTCATTGTTCCAAACATGGGATCTATTTCTTGAAAATCTTCTATTCCGTATCCAAAGTCTTTTAAGGCAGATTTGTAGAAGGATGTAATCCAGACTGTTTTTATGTTTAGATATTGGATATGATCCAGTTTTTCTTGGATACCTGGATAGGAAAGGTGGGAAAATACAGTTTGGGGCAAGAAGCAAACTAGTGTGAAAGTCCATGTCATTCAGCAGAAGAACTAGATGAGTGAAAGCCATATTCAAACCCTTCTTATGAGGCTCATTATGGTGATCTTGAACAACACCTTGTTTCTCAGCCCATTTACCTTTTGATATATCGGTAACTTTGGAGACCTATTTTAGGACCAAACTCCTTTTTTCAAGTTTCTTTTATGTCAACTGCTCGTGCTTGTATGACTGCATCTTCTATCACTGCCATCTATTATTCTTCTAGTTGTCCTTGTTTCATCCAGAGCTACTCATATATTCTTCAGAAACTAATACAAATATTCCAGTGGAGTAAGCTGCTCTGATGACAGTTCACCTAAGACAGTGGTTCCCAACCTTGGGAAACCCAGGGGTTCTTAGACTGCAATTCTCAGAAACCCCAGCCAGCACGACTTGTAGTGAAGGCTTGTGGAGACTGCAGTTCAGGAACATGTGGGTTACCCAAGGTTGGAACTAATGAGTAATAGATTAGGTCCCATTCCACAAAGGGGCAACCGCAAAATTGTCTGCTCAGTTTTAGAACGCACAGGCTTATATTTTAAGGCATATTCTTTTTTTAACAGATATGCCGCCAGAATCCAATTTAAACTGGATGTTAAGCCTCATGCACTAGGTGGGAAGACTTTAGTTGTGTGAACTGTGGGATACTTTCTGACCCCAGAGAAAACTACAGCATATTGTGGAGCATAAAAATGCCCCACACCTACATCAGTGTTTGTGTGCACGGTGGTAATTATGATCCATTCGAGCACCCAAAGCCAAGCATGCTTTGTTTGTAAAACAGAACAAACAAAAAACACCAAAATACACATTTCCTACGTTGTGGCATATATCTAGTCCCAGTGAGTTCCAATGTCTTCCTGTGGAGGAAATTTCAGTAATTTAATATAAACTGATAAATGAATAAGGTAAACAGTCCTAAGGGGTGAGGGGAGCACAAGGATTTAGACAGGCTATAATTGCCAGAAGCCACTGGCAATGGTGCGGCTAAAAAATATTGTAAATAAATAAATAAATAAATAATTGTGTGGGGTCTTTTTCTTCTTAATATATTTATATATGTGTTATGTTTTTTTTATTTTGTTTGTCATAATAAATAAATTAAATTAAATACAAAACAAAAGGAAATTGGGCCATTGAGTTGGTCCAACCAGACCAGGTGACCCTCAAAAGTGTCATGGGAGACTTTTTGGTTCTGCTGGCTTAGGTATCCCATGGTAAAAATCAATAGATTTGCTGGCTGTTGAGGGCTTTTAAACTCCATTTTTAATTACAGAAGAAAAACAGAGTGGACATGCCTCTGCACATGGCCAGTGGACTAAGTTTGGGCACACAGTCCACAGTTCTGCTGTTTGCAATGTTGCAGAATTCCCTGCGTCTGAGACTCAGATCTTTGTGAATCCTGCAATAAAACGTGACTCTTTGAGACTAAAATATCCTATCGTAGTAAAAAGTTAACAATTGTATGTTTCGGGGAGCCCTGGTGGATAGAAAAACAATGAACAGATACTCACTCGCTCTTGCTCACTCACTTTTCCTCTTTCTCATGGGGAATAGAGAACATGATGTTGCTTATCAACATCTGGCAGTAGTCTGAACAGGCCCAGGTCACTTGATCACAGTTTTCCCAACTATGGTAAGGTAAACTGCTTTTGTATTTAAATGATAGCCATTCCCGCCCCCCCATAATTTACAGCTACACAGATAATTTACCTTTTCTGGCACTGTAACCTTGAAAAAGTTTTCAGCTACTGAATTGCACTGCAGCTGGGGTTTTCTGGGCCATCTAATCAAAAAGGCATGATTTCTAAGCCCGAGCTGTAATCCTGCAGAGCCACTGCCTGTCAGGATGGGCTTTACTGAACTAAATAGGCCAGAGAGAAGGCAACTTCTTTTGTTCCCAATGTAACTTGCTAGAGCTGTGCTGGAAAAGACAGTAATACTGGGAAAAGTTGAAAGCAGCAGGCAAAGAGACCAAACATGTGATGAATTGACCTAAGAAAGGAAATCGTGTCCTTGAGTTTACAAGAGGTGGGTATGTCTGTTAATGACAGCCCATTTTGGAGGTCATGCATTCATAAGGTCACCATATGTCAGAGGCCTCTTGATGGCACATAACAACAGAGCTTTGCTGATAGTCTTCAATTTACAGTTTTTCTTCCCTGTTTTTTTCAAATGTGGTTTTTTTTAAATAAAATCTTGTCTCAGAAAGCTCCATGAATGAACGTCCCCCAGCATGGATTATTTGTAACTTACTGCACAGTATTGGGTTTGCACTGGGGAGTATATATCAATGAGTGACTAAATTCTACTGTACAAACAACAGGGAAATCCACATCCACAGAGTGCTGTCCTCTGAAGATGCCGGCCACAGAGACTGGCGAAACGTTAGGAAGAACAACCTTCAGAACATGGCCCAAGAGCCGGAAAAACCCACAACAACCAGTCCACATATTCCTCAAAGAAGGTTATTGACTACAGTGAACCAAAACCTATACTGACATGTTTCTCTGCTCATCATTGTTTAGCCGATCCCACTAGAATTTTGAATTGTATGGTATTGTAGGTGTCTGAACTTTCAGTGTGGTAAATTGCATTGGAATTTTGGGAATGAAAAGTAGTGTACGCTTTTCAAAATAAATTTGCTTTCACACCCAGAACGAAAAGCTCAGGAAGAAGCTTTTCACAACAATCTGAAAAACTGAAATACGGTAAGAATTGAAAGATTTGCTTGGGGCAAAATCTCACCTGTTTTCTTGCCTGATCCACATCACCGTAATGGTTTTCTCAGGCACTACTTGTTGGGTATATTGTGTAAAAGAAAATTATGAATCTCAGAATAACTGAATCTCAGGCAGCGTTTTTTCCTGTTCCCCTTTCTTTTCTTGAACACTCCACTTCAAGTGTCTCTATTCTTATAGGAAGCTTTGCCTAAACCAGCACTCACCAGAAGATTTTTGGACTATACCTCCCATCATCCTCAGAGGGTTGGCTGGGGATGGTGGGAACTACAAGCTAACTTTTCTGAAGTTGCCGAAAGGACTCATGCCTCTCTAGTTCCATCTTAAAAATTCTTTCCATCATTGTTATCTACTTCTGTAGGGCTACCCCTCAGATTACAATAAAGGTTAAATTTGTTCCTGAATGTAAATCTAAGCAAATTTCAGAACTGTTTATTGAATCATGCAAAATTAAAAGTACCAATAATACCCAAAAAATGGTCAGGTAATTATCATTCACAGGATTTCAGGACTTCTGCTTCCAGCATTTGACAATGCCTGCTACATAACTGGTTGACAGCTTAATGACAGAATTGAAATCTAGAATTTTCCCAATTATCTTTAGTTTTATTTATCCTTATTTTAAATCACATTTCCTGCAAGGTCTTATTCTAGGTGACTGAATCTTGCAGAATGAGACATTTGTCCCTTATTTCAGCCAAGAGAGCTTCAAAATACCTTCTCTTTCCAGATGGTGGCTATGTTAGTCTATGCCATTTTTAAAAATGGCAAGATTAACAAGTGTTATTTGGCATAAACCTTTGTATACTGAAAGCTAGAATCGGAGGCACTCCGGAGGATGTGGGCTGCTGCCTACAGAAGCCAATGCCAAATAAGACCTGTTAGCCTTGAGGGTGCCATGAAGCTCTTTATTGTGCCTCTTTCTTTTTTTTTAAGCACATTTTGTTTCAGGCAATGCTGGCGAGGAAGCTTAATCCTAAATAACTCTGATCACAGTGGAAAAGTTGTAAGCACACACCCACCTTTGAGGTCACCATTCCCATCCTTGTTGCTGTCCTTGAATGACCGAGGATAGATCTGATAAATGGGACTCGCTTGCCACCAGCTGAGGCATTTGGGGGACATGGCGATGATAGCAGCTGTGGCTGCCACAAGCACCAGAGAGGAGGCAACGATCAGCCAAAAGAGGATCTCTCTCGTCACTTTGTAGCGCGCCTGACTGGAAAACTGAAGTAGGACCTCTTTGGGCATTCCTGCATAAGGCCGTAGAGTTAGCTCTTCCACAGTTCCGAGATTCACGCCAAGAGCAGGTGCTTTGGCCAACTCCTCTTGGCTTGTAGCATCCGCTCCCTTTTCATCCGAGTCCTCGGTCTGAACAAACCCATTGTTCTCTAGACCCTCCTTCTCCCTCATCTCCACAGAGACAGCTTTATCGTCCTTCTCAACCATTTTCAATCAGTCTCGCCTCGTTCCCTCTCGAGAAAGGTTGCTGCTGCTTGGAGAAGGTGGGAAGAATACCTTCCTGGTTAGTGAAATGCCTACAGTCGGTATCATTAATCCCTGGTTTATAAATAAACCCGACCAACCAGTCCAAAGTCTGACTGAGGTGAGGAGTCTCAAGTGCTTCATTCCCTTTGAAGAAAAGACTTCCCTTCGCAGAGAGGCAAAATGTTGCAAGAGAACAAACATCCACCTCATTCCGAGTAGACTTCAAAAGAAAAAGTACAGCTCTACAGGAATGGAGAGTGTGGGAGAAGACTGCTTCCCCTGCTGCCCCCACCCCCCGCCCAGGTTGTCTGCATATTTAACACTTTTATGGCAGGCACAGGTTCAATAAGTAATACCTCTGTCAATTCTTGTATCTCCCTAGAAAGCAAAGTTGGCACCTATTGAATGTTTGTGGTTGTAAAATTATGCTAGACGATGATGATGATTGGCTCAAGGTACCTACTTGCACATAACCCCTTCCAAAGAAAAGATCATGAAGAAAGAGGACCTGAGCCAGCACAAAAGGTGCACAGGCCAATTCATATGCATAAATGCAATCTTAGAAAAAAATGATTATATTTAAATACCTGACAGATAGCTCAGTAGCTTAGGCGTCTGGAGTGTGGAGCCAGAGGTTGAGAGTTCAAATCCCCACTGTGCCTCCTTGACAGTGGCTGGACTCAATGATCCATAGAGTTTCTTCCAGCCCTACTGTTCCAAAATGATGATGATGATGAAATAAGGGCACAATACAGCTCAGCATAGGAGAGAAGTTACTATAATCAGTTATTTCATTTCAAAACAAATTTGGCCTGGGTTACTGTTAAACCAGGAAGTACCTTCACATCTATGAATCTCTCCCACCCATCATTTTTATTCCATTCCCTGTGAACTTTAGGTTCAATCAGTGTGGCCAGCAACCTGAGTACTTGCCCCAAAGGAAAGTGCTTTTAGTAGGGTTAGTCCCCACATCCAAGTTGAAACTGGGAGGTAGAGTCAAAGGACATGAAAAGTTATCTCATCTAACGTTCTGCTGATAAAGGTCAAATAATAGTTGCTGTATCTGTCTTACTTCCTGGCATGCTAATTTTGGGGATTTGTTAAATTAACTAATTATAGATGGAAAGGTTTCAAAACTGTAATCAACTGCTCACAGCCTGGAGTGGTACATCCCCTTTTCTAGTCTCAGAATTCTGCAATAGTAATCTGCTCCAGGTATGGAGCAGAATTTAGGTTCCATTAAGTAAGTGCAGAATTATGGCCTCTGAGTCCATTGGCTTTACATTTCCGGCAGACAAAGGGTTATGGATTTCTTGGGGAAGTAGAATCAGCAAGATAGGAACAGCCATTTGCTGGCAGGTGAGTTTTTATGCTACCCATAAAAGATCTAATACATCAGTTAGAATGTTCAAGGACATAAACAACCTTTGCACGGTCTGAGTAATAAACACAATAGAAAATTAGAACTGCTGTGCACGTGACACCAGGTGAGGCGGTGGTATTCCAGACTGGGCTGCTTAAAACTGCAAGATGTGTCAGATTTTTGAATGTTCTTCTCTGTCAAAGGCTCCCTGCATCAATAATCTAATATGGCAGAGATTGTTCATTGATTTGTTAGCTTACTATAAACAGAGATATACTTTTTTATATTTTTTAATTAACCAGATGCCTTCAGAGATTCACAGAAAACTTTACGAGCTTAGATTATTTATCCAAGAAAGCCCAGAATTGGCAAGAGTTTCTGAAGATCTTGAGAAGAGGTGTTGTCCACCAGTTGCTACCTAGTAATTTCCAGTAAAAGGTGGATTTGGTGTTTGTGGATAGCAAAGGACTGCAGATTATGACTTGGAAGGGTGCCCAAGAAGGAAACAAACAAAAAACTAAGAAAAAGTGCCACTGGAGACCAAGGTGAAGGCCATCCGCACTATGATATTCCCAATTACAATGTACAAATGTGAAAGCTAGTCAGATAAGAAAGTTAGCAGGAAAAAACCGATTCATTGAAATGTGATGTGGAAGGAGAGCTTTGTGGATACCATGAACCACCAGAAAGGCAAATAAGTAAGCTCTAGACCAGTGTTGCCCAATCTTGGGTCCCCAGATGTTCTTGGACTACAAAATCCTGGCCAGCACAGCTAGAGATGAAGTGATGGGAGTTCAGTCTATGTTGGGAACTACTGCTCTACATCGCCTGAACACTCTTCCAATACTTCTTTTCAAATAATTTCTTTTGGCTTGCAAGGAGCCTGCATGTATGGCTCTACTTCTGCCTCTGCCATTTCCTTCCTCTGGGGTGCTGTCTCTGGAAGACAGACCCCTGCCATGCCTGTCAAGACAGTACCCCAGAAAGCTTGGCCTGTTGTTGCATGGTTGAAGGACTTGGGACTCTGGAATATAACTGCTGATACTGTTGTTTGTGGTGCTATGAACATTGCTAGTTTCTTGCTGCTCTGTGTGACTTCTTAGTGCTAGCCAGGCCTTCACTAGCTGCTCTCCATGTGATGAAAAGTTGGCTGGCATTTCCTCCACTCTTGCATCTGCTTAATATCCATCATCGATGGTTTAATCCAGGGATACAAAAGGCTTGTTAGAACATATTCCTCTTTCTTCCACAAGGAGGCAGATCTAAAGTGGAACAGGTCCTTTAGCCTGCTAACCAGGGCCACTGCTTCAGGCTGGAAATGCTGTTCTCCCTCTATGGAACCCCCCATCCACCTAGGCTGCCCCCTCATTATGCCTTCCATTGTGCCAACCAAGCTGTGGACTAAGAATGGCTGACTTGCTGCTAAGGACCTGCGTTGCACCCTCAAAGATTCAGAGGACACAGATCACTTGGCCCATAATGTCCCATTCTTCTCTGCCCAGAGAGGTTTCTAGTGCCTGATCAAGGAGTGTCCTATGGTGCCTCACCACTCTTTCAAACAGATATAAACTGGAGATCCACCGAGTCAACACATCTTGTGTTAGGGGGTGCATTCCAATTTTTCTTGCCTCTGCTTGCAAGAGCAACCTGCCCTGGACGCAATGGTGAAAATACTCTTGCCACCTTCATGGCACACTCAATTATATTAGGTATGCGTTTGTCGTCCATACCTTGCGAAGCACTCTGAAGTACTAGGTTGACAGTTTGGACCATACACTGCACCCTTTTCATATTCCTAGCCTGCAGCGCTGCCACCATGTTTGCCCCTTTGTCTCTGACACACTGTCTCTCTCTGTCGCTAGACTCCACTGCTGCAGCAGGTGCCTCAGAGTCCACCTGTATCCTATCATCTGTTGTCCTATGCCTGGTGCCTCCACCTCCCACCAGTGTCCTGCCAGGGAGTCATATGCATGGCTTGCACCCTGGCTGCTCCAGATGTCACTTGTAAAATGTACCTCCTGTGCCTGGCCAACTGCTGCTATACCAGTTACTTAACACCCCAATATAAATTTGGCACCGCCCGTAGTGACCATTAAAGGTCACTCAGGATGGCAATTTGTAATTAGGTGCCAGTTCTGCCTCAAACCTAAGGAAACCAGAGTTCTCCACCAGAGAGAACGGCTGGTCACCCAGGGGTGTCATCTATCCTAGGCAATAAGTAAACCTGGCATTTTTACATTTGCATAAGGCCTTTTCCTGCACCTCTCCAAACTCCTCCAGGGAAGCCTGGAAGTTATTCTTGAGATTTGGTTCTGGCATTTGCTGCCTCGCGTCGCTTGACGTTTGTCCATCTACCTCCCTGCTTCCCTGGGCTGGGGGTTCAGTATCTGCTCTCTGATGACTCATATCCTTCATAATAATGAAGCCACTTGCTCCCACAGTACCCACTTCATTTGCCAGCGGTAATGCCCTGTTCAGGTGGCTTAGCAAGCTACTATTGGGCAGTTGGTCCATGTCCTGCCAATGCTTGATCACTTTCTTGCAGTGCAGGCACTCAGACATGCAAGAATTTGTTGCACACTATTAAAATTACTTCCAGATTGTTGACTTACTGGGAGCTCCAATTTTGGCTACATGTTCCTAATAGGAATTGCTAAAATGCCATCACTACTAGTTTGGGCAACTGGTGGGGAAAGTGTAGCTGGAGGAGCTACTGAAACAATGCCAACCTGAGTCCCCCTCAGCCTCCTCCTCCCCCATGCCATATGAGTATGCACTTGAGCGTTCCCACCAACCACAATGCTGCTTTGAACATGAGAGATTTGCTGAGAAAGGGGCCTCGAGGTAAATCCTTCATTGCATATGATGGAGTTGTATGGGATGGATATGGAAGACAATGTCTGGTGCTCTTCATAAATCTCTTTCCCAACCACAAAAGCCCAAGCTGACAGTGTCAGTCTGAGTGCTGGTGCCATCCATGTCCTTCTTTGGCACTTTGTGTGAAAAGCACCTTGTTCACCATTGTCACACACCCCCAGTTCCCCTGTTTGTTCTTCTACACACCCAGGTTCCCTTTCAGGCATGACATTTAATTTTCACTCTTTTCCACTGCCACCAGTGGATTTCTTTTATCCACAATGTAAATTATTTCACTCAGACACTAGCTGCCAACCATTGAATGTTTTTTATTAATGTTACAGATGTTTTTTATTTACCCAGAATCACAATCATTGAAATGTCTTTTTATTTATTTGCTATTTAATCAACTTGTGTATTTACTTGTTACTATTCACACTTCTAACTTTGACTATCTAGCTCTTTCTCTAATGTCTGAAATCCTAACTCTAATTCTAACACACCCCTAACTGAAATCTTTAACTGATATCCCTAACTGAAGTCCCTGATCTGTCTAACTCATATCCCTAACTGAACTTTTACTGTCTTCCATTCTCTTATATTTCCTTGGTTCCGCCTCTTCTGTTCAACCATTGGTTGATAAATCAGGGTCCCATTGTGATGGACAGGAGTGGTTACTGATCTGTCCGTCACAACCATCTTTTTTTGTTCCCTGCCCTAGCCAGATGACACAAAGATGTTAACAGATGTCTGAGGTTCACTTGTATATGTCCCACCTTGAACTAGAGA